AAGATGTCATTTTGAGGACTAATGTCTTAGGTATCTAGTGCTGCTGTAACAGAAATACCACAAGTAGATGGCTTTAACAAAGAGAAATTTATTCTCTCACAGTCTAGTAGACTACAAGTCCAAACTCAGGGCATCAGCTCCAGGGGAAGGCTTTCTCTGTCAACTCTGGAGGAAGATCCTCGTCATCATCTTCCCTTGGTCAAAGAGCTTCTCAGGCACAGGGACCCTGGGTCCAAAAGACGACCTATGCATCTGGTGCTGCTTTCTTGGTGGTATGAGGTCTCCCAGTCTGTCTGCTCACCTCTCTCTTTTATATCTCAAAAGAGATCGGCTTGAGACACAATCTAATCTTGTAGATTGAGTTCACATAACTGCTGCCTATCCGACCTCATTAACATCATAAGGTAGGTTTTACAACACATAGGAAGATCACATCAGATGACAAAGTGGTGGACGATCACACAATACTGGGAATCATGACCTAGCCAAATTTATACACATATTTTTGGGGGACACAATACAATCCATGACAACTAAGGTGTGCCTGATCCAAGCCATGGTATTTTCAGTCGCCTCATATTTATGTGAAAGCTGGACAATGAATAAGGAAGACCGAAGAAGAATTGATGCCTTTGAAGCATGGTGTTGGTGAAGAATATTGAATATACCATTGTCTTAGTTATCTCCTGCTGCTATTACAGAAATACCACAAGTGGATGGCTTTAACAAACAGAAGTTTATTCTCTCACTCTCATAGGCTAGAAGTCCGAATTCAGGGCACCAGCTCCAGGTGAAGGCTTTCTTCTCTCTGGGCTCTGGGAGAGTGTCCTTGTCATCAATTTTCCCTGGTCGAGGAGCTTCTCAGCGCAGGGACCCGAGGTCCAAAGGGTGCACTACTTTCCTAGCTCTTGTTTCTTGGTGGTATGAGGGCCCCATGTCTCTCTGCTCACTTCTCTCTTATATCTCAAAAGAGATTGACTTAAGACACAACCTAATCTTGTAGATTGACTCCTGCCTTATTAACATAACTGCCTCTAATCCTGCCTCATTAACATCATAGAGGTAGGATTTACAAAACATAGGAAAATCACGTCAGATGACAAAATGGTGGACAATCACACAGTACTGGGAATCATGGCCTAGCCAAGTTGGCAGATATTTTTGGGGAACATAATTCAATCCATGACAACCATGGACTGCCAGAAGAATGAACAAATCTGTCTTGGATGAAGTACAGCTAGGGTGCCCCTTGGAAATAAGAATGATAAGACCTTGTCTCACGTACTTTGGACATATTGTTAGGAGGGACTAGTCCATAGAGGACATAATGCTTGGTAATATAAAGGGTCAGTGAAAAAGAGAAAGCCCCTCAGTGAGATAGACTGACACAGAGGCTGCAACAATGGGCTCAAACTTAGCAACAATTGTGAGGATGGTGCCAGGCCAGTCAGTGTTTCCTTCTGTTGTACATAGGATCCCTGTGGGCCAGAACTGACTCAAGGGCACCTAATAACAACAACAACCCGGGGCAGATAAAGCTGGGCTGATAAGCAGAGCTGTGCCTGGATGACCCCCCACACACTGCCCCAGCCAAGATGGGTGTCTGGGGACCATGGTCCCAGCCAGGAACCAGCCCTGACTTTTAATATTGGAGGATGCTAATGAAGGATAATTGACAGAATACACAGTCTCAGGGAGCTTCTCAGGGACACAGTGATCCCTTGACACTGTGCCAGTAACGCACACATCTGTGCACACACCAACTCGCCCCCCCACCCCCCCACAACGCCCAAAGCTGGCCCTGAACAGAGTGCCCAGGAAGTCAGCACAGGCTACTGGGGTCTGCACAGGCAAATAGGACCCTCTGGCAGGGGACTGAATATCCAGAAACCCAAGTCCAGGGGAAGCATAGAGGAGAAATGGCACATGGCCATTGTTGACTGATAGCCCTGAGTTTTTCTGTTTAGTTTTGGTCTCTGGAATCAGAGAACCAGGAGTTTGAACCCTGACTCTTCTGCTTCCTGGCTGGATAATCTTGGGAAAGTCACTTGGCTTCTCAGAGGCTGTTTTTTAATCTGTATAATGGGGTTAACCTTGCCTACCTTGTAAGGTGTCAGGCATACAGCAGGTGCTCAAAAACCAAGTCTGTGAAGGCACAGCCTACAGAGAAGGCATGTAAGGGGCACGTAGGGAGGGAACCAACAATTATGGAGTGCCTGCTGTATGTCAGGAGTCCCTGGGTGCTGCAGTTAAGCACTTGACTACTAACTAAAAGGTTGGTGGTTCAAAACCATCCGGAGGTGCCTTGGAAGAAAGGCCTGGTATTCTGCTTCCTTGAAGACCCTGTGGAGGACACTTCTACTTATGGATTGCCATGAGTCAGAATAGAATCGTCTCAACTGTTTTTGTTTGTTAACTGTATGTCAGGCCCAGTGCCAGCTATGGCAAGTGGGTGTTATTAATGTCACACTAATGGGGCTGAGTCCTGGGTCAGTTGCGAGTTAGATGGTCTACATTTACCATGCCCTGAGGCTTCATCACCATGTCCTCCTCTTTCCCTCCTTTCCTCCTATCAAAACAGGCCACCAGAAAAAGGTCTGACATCCGTCTCATTCCCCCATGGAGCCAGCCAGCTCCCAGACAACTGTTCTGGGGGTGTCTACAGCTAAAGACAGGCTTTGCCTCATATCAGAAGACCTGACCCCTAGTGAAGAATTTCAGGCATCCACACCGCAGATAAGAGAGGCATTTGGGGCCCAAGGGGACCTTCAAGATGCTGAAACCAAACCGTGTGCCTCTGTTCTCTGCTTTTGTATATGCCTGATTTTGTCCATAAATCTATCAGAGGGGCATTGGGATAGGTCCTCCCACCTGTTCTTCTCATTGCTGGAAGTCCCATCATTAGCTTTCAGGCTTTGTTTCTCTTCCAGGTCAAGCCTCTTTTAAAATGCGGTTTCTTCCGGAATAAGTAATGCTGTAAACTAATTCACCCCACGGTATTACCACATCACTTTTGTCTCCTGGAGATGGAGCGGCACAGGGTTTGTGTCTTAGCTTCCTAGGGCTGCTGTAACAAAATACCACAAAATGGGTGGCTTTAAAGGACAGAATTTTATTGTCTCACAGTTCTGGAGGCTGGGAGTCTGAATTCAGGGCGGCAGCAAAGCCATGCTCTCTCAGTTGGCTCTAGGGGAAGATCCTTCCTTATTTCCTCCAACGTCTGGTAGCCCCAGGCATCTCTTGGCATTTTGAGCTTGTAAATGCATCTTCACAGGCGTCTTCCCCTTGTGTGTCTCCGTCTTGTGTCTGGTTTCCTCTTTTTTAAGACACCACTAGATTGTATTAGGACCCACCCCACCCCAGTATGACCTCATTAACTGATAACATCTTCAAACAGAGAACTATTTCCAAATAAGGCCATATTCATAGGTACAAGAGTTAGGACTTCAACATATCTCTTTGAGGGGGGTACATTTCAATCCATAACAATCTGTTTATGAAAAGGAGAGGCGAAGAAGGAGAAGAAAGAGCAGGAGGCTGTGTTGGGTGGCAGGGATCAGTGTTAAGGAAGAAGGGTCGACTGCGGGGTGCTAGAGAAAGTCAAGGTATGACTGGGCCCTGCAGTAAAGCTCTGGCCTGCCTCGTAACACTGGTGGGTGGGATCTCAGCTTTAGGGTCTGTAAAATACAGCCCCTGGGCTAGATGACTGCTGCCTCTCCTGGGCCCTTGAGGGGTAGACCCTGGGACTGGCACCTACCCCCTCAGGTGCTAATAAGCATCTTCCCACCACTGAGACACAGTTCTTACTGCTACCGACTACCACTGCTACCAGGGCCTCAGCAGCTTCTCCATTCTCCCCCGCACTTGGCCCAAGCACCTTCCTCCCACGGCTGGGGAAGCTGGTCTTCAACATCTTCTAGCCAAATTCTCTTCTGGCTCCAGCTTCCTTCCTTGATCCCCTAGTACCCCCCAGTTTGTCCGGTTCTACTGACCCTGGTGTCCACCCAAGTTCTCCTTAAGGGAGGTAATGAGGTGTTTCTTTCCAGATGCAGCTAAGCACCTTATTCCCTGTCTCGGCCTCATATCAAATCTGGGGCCACAAGCCACCTACCTCCCTTGGGTGGGTGAGAGTGGGGCATGGTGAGGGGGCTACCTCAGCCCAGATACTCAGATGTGATGTGAATGGGTACAGGGAAGCGCCTCACCCCTGGTCCTTCTGGGTCTGTGTTTGTTTGATCTCTGTTCATTTGCATTCATGCTATTCCTTTTTGAGGATGTTTTCATTTTTTTCTGTGAGAGGCTTGATTCCCTGAAGCCTGGGACTGTGCCTTGCCTCTCAGACTGGGAGTTCCCTGAGAGCACGGACTGGGTAGCCCCCCTCAGACTGGGGCCCCTGAGGGCAGGGCTGTATCTCCCCCTCAGACTGGGGCTCCCTGAGGGCAGGACTGTGTCTCCCCATCAGACTGAGGTCTACCTCTTTTTCTTTCTCTCAGGAGCTCAATGTCAGCTTTGTTCTCAAGGTCTGTTCTACACGAGGATTGTGGCAGGGATGTGGGTGCTGAGTCCTGAAAATCAAATCAGAAATGGCATCAGGTGGCTGTGGGGCTGGCAGGGCCATTGCTGGTCAGCACCAGACCGTGTCAGCACGTGATTTGAGGCTGGAGGCAGGGGCATGGAAATGGGCTAGACTCGTCTCATTTCAAAGACGTAGATTCATCAAGCTGCATCCTAGGGTGGCTGAGAGGAAAGGCTAAGGGTGGGGCTGGGTAGCCCCCCAGCTTAGTGACGTCCTTTCCTCTTTCTGGGCTGGTGGGGCATACAGCAGGGGTGGAAGTGCAAGTATGTGTGTGTTTAGGGAGTAGGAGAGTATTACTAATTCAGAGGGATCAGTTCTGGGAAGCAGTAGTGACCCCAGGATGGGGAGGAATGAGGGGCATCTAGCGGCTGGGTGGGTGCCCAGCCCAGACCGAGGCTCAGCTGTCTGGTCTCCTCACCCCCAGTGCTGCAGGGCCATGTGTACCGGTTCTGCACAGCTGAGGGCCTGTGGCTGCTTAAGGACAACTCCAGCCTGCCCTGGAGGGACCTGTCGGAGTGCGAGGAGTCCAAGCGAGGAGAGAGAGTGAGTTGAAGAGGGGATTCTCATCCTGGGAGGGGGTTGCACGGGTCCCAGCTTCAGCCGAGCAGAAACCCAGGGCTTCTGGTGGGCCCATCTGTGGTCATCTCATCCATCCCTCGCCTCTGGGAGCTTTGCATCCCGTGTTTCAGGACAAATGTGGTGTGTGTTCACCTCTCTGGCTCGTAACAGGGCCCTAGAAATCCCGAGGAACGTTGCCATTCTTTGTTCTGGGATCCCCAGTGGGGCCTGACTTAGGCCCCTGTCCCATGGGAAAGAAGGATGGGGGAGAGAGGGCCGTGGGCTGCCCTGTATACACCTGTGTCCCCTGTGTGCGCACAGAGCAGCCCGGAGGAGCAGCTCCTGTCCCTTTACATCATCTACACGGTGGGCTACGCACTCTCCTTCTCGGCTCTGGTCATAGCTTCAGCCATCCTTCTAGGATTTAGGTAAGGGGGCCTGGACCACGGGAGGGGGCTGCTTCTTCCTGTCTGTCTGTCCCCCAAATAGAGAAGTGAGTCTTTGACCAAATCAAAGCAACAAATGCTGGCAGTCTCAAACCAGGTCAGCCCACATTCTTCTCTTGAGACATCTCAAAGAGCCCTTGCCATAGAATATGAAGTTTAAAACACAGGATACAGCATGGTATACTTAGTCTAATCTCCACTATGTAAATATGTGCATATAATACTGCAAACACATGCACACACCCCCCAAACCTTAACAATGGATGGCAGGATTACTGAAAAATCCCAGGAAATCCTCTTCAATGAGGATGTGTAACTTAAATGATCAGGAATTCAGAATGATTTTAGGAAAGATCTCAGGGCTTAGAGATTCGGCTCTCTTTGGAGCTTGTCAGCCCTAGTGGAAAAGTTCCTCCTTAGGTCTAACCTAGATGACACATTTCTTTCAGACCAGGAGCTGGGGACAGAGTGTCAGGTTGTTGCCCTTTCCTCTGTGCCTAGTGAGGGTGGGTCAGGGGAGCTGGGTTAAAGGACAAGAGGGATTCTTAGGGTAGGAACCCTGGGACACCAGCCAGCAAGAACAAAAGAGGCAGCATCCCCTCAGTCACCCCCAAGGCACTTGGCACAATGCTGGGCACAGAGTCCAAAAAAAAAAAAAAAAAACCAATTGCCATGGAGTCAATTCTAACTCATGGCACCCCATGTATGTCAAAGTAGAATTGTGCTCCATAAGGTTTTCGATGGCTGATTTTTTTGGAAGTAGGCCGCCAAGCCTTTCTTCCAAGGCACCTCTGGGTGGACTTATACCACCAACCTTTCAGTTAGCAGCTGAATGCGTTAACTGTTTGCACCATCTGGGGACTCCAGGCACAGAGATAGTGCTCAGTAAAGGCATTCACTCAATGAATAGTCCCTCCTTTTATTATGAAATATTTCAGAGATTCAAAAATACAGTGATTGATATTATCATCCAGGCATACACCACCCATAGCCATAGAGTTACAATTCCCTGAGTAACCCTCTCTGATCAAGTCCCTCTCTCTGCCCCACCCCCACCAGAGGTAACACTCTAACGTGGCACTTATAATTCCCATGAATTTCTTTATACTCTTAGTACATGTGTAAATATGTATAAAAATATATAACATGGTTTTGCAAATTTTTAATGTTATTGTATAAATAATACTGTGCTGTACATATTTTTCTGCAAGTTGCTTTTTTTTTTTGAGAGAGCTGATATATGGTGTTTATTATGTGCCATGCGTGGCTCCAATCACCTTATGTACACTAATTTATTTAATCCTCATAACAACCCTGTGATTGTTGTTAGCTGCATGATGGAACGAAACCTGCACTATTCCCAAGATTGGTTGCAGATAGAACCATTGCGATCCATAGGATTTTCATTGATTTTTAGAAGTAGGTCATCAGGTATTTCTTCTTAGTCTCTGGAAGCTCTGCTGAAACCTGTGCAGCATGAGAGCAACACACAAGCCTCCACTGAGAGACAGCTGGTAGCTGTGCATGAGGTGCGTTATCTGGGACTCAAACCCAGGTATCCCATGTGGAGGCGAGAATTCCTTTTTCAGAAGAGCAAACAGAGTCTCCAAGAAGGAAATAGAGAAATTAAGCAACACGGCCCAGCCCTCAGGGCAATACATGGTCATGTGTGGCTGGCTGCCAGAGTAGGAAACTTGAGATTTTCTCAGACAGGCCTGAGGCAGGGTGTGTGTGTGTGTGTGTGTAAAGCTGTCCCGGAAACCCTGCCCACACCTTGGCATCCCAGGAACGTGCTTTTTGGAGCTTTGGCAGTTCTCTTCCAGGCCTGCCATGCTTTCTATACAGAAGCTCTGGAATTTATCCAGGGCCTTGAACCAGTTCATGCCGGTTCAAACCCCTGCTGAGAACGTGCATTCCATCCCAGATATACTGATCAGGATCTACATTTTAACAAGACCCCCTGGTGATTCTTACGTATGATAAATTTTGAGAACCACTGCTCTGCTATAGGTTCTCAGAATTGGTTCCTAACCGGCAGCATTAGCATCACCTGGGAACTTGTTAGAAATGCAAATTTGCAGCAAAGCTTTGAACCGGAAAGAACTGGTTCAAAGCCCTGCTTCCGGGTCACTCCTTCCAGGTCTGTTGAGGTGAAAGGTTTACCACAAGGTGGAGAAATGGGAAAGCCGGGCTCATAACAGAAACTGAGCTCTTTGTCTTGTAATTTTTCTGAAGGGATTTAAAAAAATGTAGCATA